GGGGGGGGGGGGGGGAGTATGTATCAGTTATACTTACAGTAACTTCATGACCTTTATTTCAGAAAGCTGTCCTTTAGATTCATTTAATTTAATTATTTATTTTCCTCATTTTACTCTTGAATTTTCCTTTGTAAAGCAAAGTTACAAACACAAACTGTTGTTGTTGTTGTTGTTGTTGTTGTTGTTGTTATTATTATTATTATTATTATTATTATTATCATTATCCTTATGAACCTTTTTCAGATTTGCCCCTTTTTCAGGTTTGTCCTTTACTTTTTCCAAGAAAATATGGTCACTGTAATTATACTGCATAGTGCCATGCAGTATCATTTTTGCTGGGTCACAGCCAGCTTGCAGTTAGAATAGATGATAGGCGAAAAATAACACTAACTACAACAACCACAGACGACAGTTATTTCAGTAATCAATTTAAGATGTGCCATCAAGTCATTGTTGACCCCTAGCAACCACATAGATAGACTTTCTCCATGACGATTTGTCCTTAACTTGGTCTTTCAGTCTTCTAATGGTGTCAGTAATCAATATCTAATAAAATATTATGATGACTGCCTGATCAGCCATTTTTTTTTTCATACTAATGGACTGGAATGATTGCTAGATGCTTCCTCCATGGGACATAAAGGGATAGCTGAAGATCTCCCTCTTGAGTGGAATAGAAGAGGCTGTCATTAGTTTGAAGGCAACCTCAGCTAAGAGGAGGGAGCTACGTATGGATGGAAGATGTATGGAAACAGCAGTTTTGGAAGAGAAGGATGGATAGAAACATTATGGTGCACAGGATGTCTCTTTCAGGCTGAGGAACAGCTGTGAGATGACGACTCTATTCTCTTACAGAACACGTGTTGCTTCCCTCCATCTGAGCTCTACTGGTGTTTTTGTAAACAATATCAAAAAGCTGAAATAAGGAAGTATATACCATTCACAGATTATATAAATATGTTATGTCTCCAGTGGTCTCTCCTCTACAATCCAGACTCAACCAGTGCCGAATGCAATATGGATACCTGAAAACTGCAGCGATCCATACAAATATTGGTCAACAGAATATTTAATATGCTGCCCAGTGAGTTTTTTGCAGATGACAATGGACAGACACCGAGCAGCTGGCCTCACACTCTTTGAAAATGTAAAAACTAATTATCCTTCCCTTCAACTTTGGGCAACACATATAGATTCCTTGGTAGACAGAGAATGAAGATAAACGTACTTTCTGGAGATTCAATTTTTAACTAAGAAAAAATCCATAGAAGCTAAATTGTCAGGTATTACCTACAGAAACCCTGGAGTAATTTATCAGGCATTTGAACCTAATCTCTAAGCTCTAACCATTAGATTTCATTAATACAAAAAACAAAAAAAGCTAGCCCATTTTAATTCTCTTCTAGCCACCTTTTCCCCTGTCCAGCCAAACCTCCTTTTCATGTCACCTTGCTTGATGAACAGAGCTGTAGATTTGGAAAACTTATTCACAATTTTCTGAATATTTGATTGGTTTGAATACAGATATTAACTGCTGAGAGGTTTTGTATATATTTTTCTTATGAATCTCTGTGGCAAGCAAGACATAATGGTATATATATAACATTGCAGAACAAAATTAGTCTGTCCCTAGATCTGTTTGCCTCAATTATATTTTCTTTGAGAAGTGCTATTGATTTAAAAAAGAAAGGGTAGAGTAGATTTTTGTAACTTTTCTTCTGATTTTTTGTAACTTTTTTAATAATCTTGCCAACAATTTTGTGCATATTCCACTACCTTACAAAAAAGTATTGCTTGATAATGGATTCTAGAATGATCTTACATATATACACATGCACACACATAAACACATAAAGTTTTGATACTTCGGTGTTCAACATAAATTTGGCCACAAATGGCAACTGCCTTCTCCTATCTTTACCGTTCTAAAGTGGCAAACCACTAAATCACAACTTTATATACTGTTTCTGGTTGTCCCAGCTGTAATCAAATGGGAATAACAGGGATGTTGAATTTGGGGGTCTTACTAAGTTCCACCACCTAAAGAGTGAAATATTACTTCCCAAAGGACTTTCATCTTTCCCAGTTCAGTAAATCCCTATTGTTGCTAAGCAACCCTTTTGCATCTTCCATATCTTCCTCTGAAAGTTCCATGGCTCCAACTGCATCAGCTTCTGGCAGCTTCTCAGATCTGTTTGCTTGGCTCCGATAAAGAGGTGAAAAGGGTGCTTGGTTGGAAAAGTCAGGACGTGCCTGGCAGGGGAACAGCCATCATGACTACCATGAATGAAGAGGATCTAAGCGAGTATTTCCGCATGCAGTATGGACAGAAATTGCTGAAATTGTTGATGTAAGTTACCTCTTCCTCCTTCTATTGTTTCTGTTCTGCCCCCTGAAATATTGTCTGTACCACCAGAAGTTTTCTCTGCTTTCCCCTTTCTAAACACTGTTCTTACTCTCTCATTTCTGGAATCTTTTTCTCCTCTGAATCCTTCCTCGCAAAACATACACTTTTAATAGAAGACATCTACTAGATCAGATCAAGGCTTCATCTAGCTCAAAATCCAGTATCGCATAATAGGAAACCAGGCTGATTATGTGAAACCTACTGGAAGGATGGATGGATAATTCATTCATTCCTCAATGCTGTAGCCTTAATCTGATTCCCTCAACCATGTTACTATTAATATTTCTAAAAGTAGTGTGAGGAGCATTTTATGAAAGAGTTTGTAAAATATTTTTTAATGATTTAATATGTAATAATCACATTGGATTATCCTTAAGCAAAACTAACTGGCATAGTTAGGATACAGGCATGGAATCCTTGTGAATGGAGATATCTTCTGTTACATTATGTGTTTGGTGTTTGATTATTTCTCTGTTTGTTGTAATAATATTTGCTTCTGTTTTATTTTAATCCTCTTAGTGAAGAGGGTTTTGGAAACTTCTCAGAGTCTTTGTTGATTGGAGCAACTTATAAGTCCTAATGAGTAACTGTCTAAGTAAATAAGTAAATACAGTACATATGTATATAAATATATACATTGTAAGAAACCACCCTAAGATCTCCCTGTGTAAAAGACATGCTGAACCTTGAGGAAGCACCTTTCCAACATGGTGTTAAACATTCTAGCCTTAATTTACCTTTTTACTGATAAAGTGGACAGGTCTATAATTTTAACCTTTAGACAAGAATCTACTTTTTTAGAGGAAGAAGTCTTGTTCTTTTATAATTTCCTAATCCTTGCTGTATAGTCAGAATCATGTCCTCATGGACTTTTTCATGCCCTGCAAGTCTATTTCTGGAGTTTGTCCAGTTAGGGGCAAATAGCCCTGAAAGAGATCTTATTTTTAATGAATCACCTTTTTTTTAAAAAAGCCCTCTTTTGAGACTAAAGTCCAAGTGTTTTTCACCCACAGATGAATCAGATCATGCTGTTGTCTAATCAGCAACAATTACATCACTAAGCAATATACATTACATGCTGGATACCACTCGCTATCAAAGTGTGATTTAAAGGCCATCTTTGTGCTTAGGGACTCAGCTATCTATTGACTTGTCTTTCTTCATATGTTTCTCTGCCTTCTAGATCCTTTATTGCCTTTATCTTCCTTTAGTCCATGATTACCTTTAATTCTTCAGCTCCTTCTCCTAAAGTCTGTTGATTCACATTAAATGTTTAATTTAGTCAGCATATGTTTGTTCCACGCTATCTCAGCTTAGACTATAGCCTGGAGCTGTAGTCTCTTTTCTGAATGAAAGTTAATTTGGGGACAAATAAGTTATTCTGTTAGAAATCTGTCCTTGCTATCTGAAGATGTTTGAATAGCCCTCATGGGCCCTATGACATGATAGGCCTTTATTATTCATGGGAAATATTTATTCATTCATTCATTTAATTTTATCACATTTGTAGAGCCACCCATCTCACATGATGACTCTAGGCAGTGTACATAATAAAACAAAATATATAAGAACCATTAAAAACACCATTTAAATTAAAATAAAAAACAAGACGAAAGACAAAATGTCAGCAACGCATACAGAGAGTGCATCTTTGCTTATTTGAATAGATATTGGTTCTCTTTGATTAGGAAATTCCCAGTGTCAGAGGAGCAGTCTCCATCTCCTTCCATTCGACTCCTGGAAAAAAAGAAAGAGGCCAAATTGGTGCATCAGGCCATGGAAGCTCAAAAGGAGGTGAGGTTCTCAAAATATTTTTGTTGTATTATAGAATCTCCCATCTCTTACTTCTTTACCCCTTGAAATACACAGAACCCTATTGCCATCAAGATAAAGCTTGATCCCATCCATCAAACTGGATCCCAGGTCCAGTTTGTATCCTGAAGGAAGTTAACTGTGTTCATACTACCCACAGAAGAAAAGGTCTGTTATAATCAAATGATTGGTTAGTAACTTCTCTCTGTGTATTCTTTAGGCATTTAAAACAAGAATGGAATCCCTAAACAACAGGTGGGAAGAACTTGGTGCAAAAGAAGTCCAGCTGAAAGCATATATTAGGAAATTTGAGCAATTCATACAGGTACAGATTCCTTATAGCTTTCCATCCACTGCTTTTAATAGTAATGGCTCCATCCTATTTTTGTGGTTAGGAACTGGTAGTTCTCACTGTGGTTCTCTCGAAGCCATGCACATTGTATACGAACGTTTTTTTGCCCATCGGGCATAGCAATTAAGGTTGCATAATAGCGTCCAATTGGAAAAGGAAACAAAATAGGCAAGGTATATGCAGTAAAATCCATAACTGTTTAATTCAAATTATTTCCCCTTTTAATTATGGCATAAATATGATGTTTCCACAATAGTAGAAGAAAAAGCATCTAGTAGTTTATTTATTCATCCATTGATTTAGCACTTTTATAAAGCCACCAACTCACTCTGGGCAGCTAGGAACAATATAAACGAAGAAAATAACAGGGCCTGTCAAGAACAGAAAAAAACATCCAAATCAGCATACAAAATCTTATAAGAGGCTCACCCCCCAGCCTAGCCCAAGGCCTGGGGAAAAAGCCAAGTCATTAAAAACCTTTTAAACATGGCCTGGTTAGGGGCTATATTGATCCCTTGGTGGGATGCTGTTCCAGAGAGTTTTCTATCTGTTGCCAATGGACCAGGCAGAATGGCATTTTTGCAGCTCCTCATTGGTACTATGGTCACAGCCTAAGTTAGCAAAGCACGTTCAGTCATTGAATAATGCCTCATCTCTTTCTTACGATGATGACAAGTTTTCTGGACCTGGGCTATAACCTAGGCAGCTCAATTCTTTGGAGCACAGTGCCAATAATAAGAGTTTGTTTATTTATTTATTAAACATATGTCTGTCCTGACCCAATTCAAAAGAACTCTTGAAGCGTGCATTGAATAAATAATACACTTAAATCATCCCTGGTGCAATCTAAAAGCCCAACTTATTTTTAGTCATAAATGAAAAGCAATAACAATAAACAACATAAGGAGAGTCACAATAATATCACATAAGGAGAAAAATTAAAAAATAAAGATAGAAACTCCAAATCAGAGGAAAGCTCTCCAAAACAGCTGGGCTTTTAGCAATTTTTGAAAAATCAACAAAGAAGGGGCCAGCCTAATATTAAAGAGGAATGGCTTTAAGTCTCATATTGGACCTCTAGGGCAGGTTCCTCAACCTCAGCAACTTTAAGATGGGTGGACTTCAACATGGCTGGCTGGGGAATTC